AGTATACCATTAAATGACTGTTTCATCATCTTACCCTAAAGGCAAGGTTCATAGGTTGGAAGATCTATAGCTAGAAAATCCAAAGGACCATCCTTTACCAACCTTGTGATATGATCTATGTTAATGTGGCCAAGTCGGTAATGCCACAGGTACGTGGGATTAACTGTATAACGGGTTCTTTTGTTGGGATTATTATCCGATGAAGTTTCGGTTAAATTTGTTTCCAGAGAAGGATGGAGAACATATAAACCATTCTCAAGTTCTCCATATGCGAGGAATTTGTTATTCCTTTTGTTAGTAATCACATTACTAAAAAGAATAGAATAACCATTCGTACATAGTTTTGAAATAGAAATCAAATTTCTTCTCAAATTGGATACATAAAGACAATCTTTTAATGTAATTATTCATTCTCTAAAATACAATTCTATAGTTCTTATGGCTATAGTTGCAACACTTACAGAAGTCCCCAAGTAAAGAATCACTTCTCTGTCACTTAATCTTCTACTTGTCCTGAACCCCTACAATGTATTACATGCATGAGTAGAAGCCCCAAAGTCAATACACCAGGAAGCAGAAGTGACCAACATATTGGTCTCTATGACAAAGTATTCAAAATTACCTTGTTTCTTGGTCTCCAGGTACTGAGGACAATTCCTCTTCCAGTGGCTGGTCTTCTTGTAGAAGTGAGAGGCATCTGATGCCTTGTCCTGCTTTTTAGGCTTGCTAGTTTTCTTCTAAGGTTTCTTCTTTGCCTTCCTCTTCTTCTTGTCCGATTTGCTACCTTCAACAAGCATGGCTATGGGCATATCCTTCTTTATCAGTTCTTCGGCCATCTGCAACATATTGCTGAGTTTCTGAAGGCTAACATTTAGCTTGTTCATATTGTAATTCATTTTGAACTGATTGAAGGAATGAGGCAAAGAGTTCAGGATGGCATAAACTTTGGTGACATGATCTAGCCTAGGTCCAAGAGCCTCCAGTTCATTGATGTATCCCATCATCTTAACACAATGGTCATGAACTAGCTGGTTCTTGGACATTTGTGTGGTCATAAACTGCTTTAGGAACTTCTGACGAGTAGAACGATTATGCTCTTCATACATGGTCCTTAGACTATCCAAAATATCATTGAACACTTTGATCTAATTGAACTGTCGCTGTATATGATTGTCTAAGGAGGCTATGATGTAGCATCAGGAAAGAGAGATTATATCCTCCCATTCTTGATATTCTCCCCTATGGGCCTCAGAAGCCCTATCACCCAGACGATCCGGAGTAGGGTTCTTAGCAACTTGTCCAATTTCTCGGATGTCAGAACCAACATAAGGTTACGAAACCAGACAGTATAATTTGGGCCCTTAAGCTTATTATTGTCCAACAGTTTGGCAAATTGTCCATTTGCTATTTTTGATAAAAGGCTAAGCAAATATTAGTCCCTAACCTAATTTGATTCATGTTATCTACATAGAAATGGCTTTTAATCTATGTTCCATTTCCATTTATTCATCTCTGAGATTTCCCTCCTATCTCAGTGATGGAGACTGCGAACTTCATCTCTGGAAATGTGGGAAACCACATACAGTGCATGGATGCAACTGTTTCAACTGCATAACCCCACCACCTTCTGTGAAGGATCACATCCACTCATATCATTAGCTTTCCCTTTGGCCTCTATTAGACAAGGTTCATTGACATTTTATGTTAAACCTTTCTGTCCAGTAACTGCTTACCCATCATAGTCGTGAACGTCAAGGTACCGTGAGAGAGTCTTCCATTTTAGGATAGGCCCCTCCCACATCGGTCTAGACGCTCCTATCATCTTGTGAAACAACCCAACAGATCCAGCAGCAAATGGGTACCCCAATTTTATGGTGCATCTCCTCATTACCAAAAGACCCATCTTCTTGCTAATGATGGAAGGCCTTTAGAGAGTTCATCATATGGATATGTGATAGAGTGCAAAGTGTATATATTAATTCTGGATAATTCCCTTTAATTTTGATAGAAATTATGCTTAATTTATAAATTCTATTTAAATTTCATATTCAATGAAGCCAAATTAATGTTGCAGGTATGATGGACTTGGAATTGAAGAATTGAATACCAATTAGTAGAAATCTCAATCTATGGCGCAAGTTGAAGTGAAGAGAGGAAGGAGGCGGCGAACGAAGAAAGGAGCGAATTGCTAAGCGGATTCACCCCAAGAATTTCCTTTTATTTTGGAAGGATAAGATGGCAAATTCGATCCATATCTGGATTCCTATTTTTGTGCCGAGAAGAGGAAGTTGTTTAGGAGAATTCAAATCCTATCCTATAGGAGATAATCTATAGGGAACACTTATCTTTCCAGTATTATATAAAGAGAAGAGTTCCAAAAGAAAAAGAGATGGAGGAAGGCGGCGAAAAAGGAGAAGAAAAGCTCACCGATCTCAACCTCAATGGCGACATCACGAGTTCTTTCTTGTACCTTGTTTGTTTAATTTCCTTTATCATGAACTAGTTTATTTGTAGCTAGGGCTATGGAAAGCCTAAYYAYGACMAWGGATTGATTTTTATTTAATTTAACCAAGTTGTTTTTATTTTCATATTGTCTATGAGTTATTATGTGCAATGCAATTAGAAGTTTGGCCACCTCTTAGTTGATTTNCCTCTTAGTTGATTTGGTTTATGTGAATGAATCAGAAGGGGAATTCATATAATAGACTAAATAATTCATAGTGTGAATTGAATGGTATATAGGAATATGTATGCATGATTCATCTGATGATACAGGTTTTTCATAGAACTTAGTGAACTTTCTATCTCGAGAAATCTAATAGAGGAATCGAAGGGTTACTTGATAGAAGTAGGTTTGATATATCCTGGAAGGGAATATTAAATAAATTAGGGAAAACTTCAGCTTATGAAAATAATAAATTATCTTGGTTAATTTAATAAATTGATGTTCATTGGAATGGTTAGGCAGACCAATAGTCCTGGCGCTTTCAGTTAGATCGTTGCAAGTTCAGTCATTGATTGCCTTTGTTTTTATTTCTTTTATCTTTAATTTTCAGTAGTTAAAATTGCTAGATCCAAAATTTGGTTGTCCAAATAATTAAGGGAAAATATAGTTTTAGTACTTATTTTGTTAAATCCTTGTGGGAATGATATCTTTATACTACTTGATAACTAGTGCACTTGCTAGGGTTTTATAATTATAACTACCATGTTTTTGGCGCCATTGCCGAGGATTTAATCCTAAAATAATATTAGAACTTGTTAACCTTGGTTAATTTGGATTTTACTCTTTATTTAATGTGTTTAAATTCTTGCTTTGTTCAAATTGATTAGTGTATGACATGCACTAGAGGTGAAGAACTAGCAGAATTTGACCCTAAAATAGAGAGAACCCTTCACATACTACAAAGAGCCAACAAAAGTAAAGAGAGAGAGAAGGTTGCAAAAGGCAAACCGGTAGAAGAAGTTGAGGAAGAGATGGCAGACGAAGCAAATCAAACTCTTTTGGAATATGCTTGTCCAACAATTGATGGGGCTACTTCTAGCATCAACAAGCCAATGATTCAAGCCGATAATTTTGAGATCAAGCCTGCGATTATCCAAATGATCCAAATGAGTATTCAGTTTAGTGGGTTGTCGAGTGATGATCCTAATGCACACATTGTTAATTTCCTAGAAATATGTGACACATTCAAGCATAATAGAGTTAGCGATGATGCTATTAGGCTTAGACTTTTTCCATTTTCATTACGTGATAGAGCTAAGGATTAGCTTAATTCACTCCCTGCAGGAAGTATCAATACTTGGAATGACTTGACTCAAAAATTTTTGGCTAAGTATTTTCCTCCCTCTAAAATAGCAAAATTGATCAATGATATCACTACTTTTGTTCAACTAGAGAGGGAATCTTTGTATGAGGCGTGGGAACGATTTAAAGAGATGCTTAGGAAGTGTCCTCACCATGGAATACCAGTTTAGCGTCAAATTCAAACTTTGTATAATGGTATTACTCCATCTAATCGCTCCACTATTGATGCAGCTGCAAGAGGCACAATCATGAGGAAAACTCCAAAGGAAGCCTATGATCTAGTGGAAGAAATGGTATCAAATAGCTACCAATGGAATAAAGACCGAGCTAATCGAAGGGGAGTGCGTCATATAGATTCTTTTACAGCTTTATCTGCTCAGCTTGCTAGTTTGAATAAAAAATTAGACAATCTTAGTGTTGCAGCAATAAATGTGTCATCTTGTAATCCATGTGACCTTTGTGGCCAATTGGGACATGTAAATTCTGATTGTCAGGTAAGTAATCCTTTTGCTTCACATGAAAGTGCAAATTTTGTTTCTCATGGTGGTAAGCCAAATTTCAACCCCTATTCGAATACATACAATCTAGGATGGAGGAGTCATCCAAATTTTTCGTGGAATAAGAACCAACAAAAAGCACCCATGGGATTTCAACAACAACTACCCCCACAAGAAAAGAAGGGAAATTTAGAGGACATGATTTCTAAATTCATTAATACTGTTGAAGCAAAGATTCAAGATCATGAAAAGAGATTCTTAAATCAAGAGGCATCTATTAAGAACTTAGAAGTTCAAGTGGGGCAGATCGTGAACATGTTGTCAGAAAGAAGAGAGAGACGATTGCCTAGCAATACAGAGAAGAACCCAAGGGAGCAAGTGAATGCCATTGCTTAAGAAGTGGAAAGACTATTGGCGAGATGAAGGATGATGATCAAAAAGTTGAGGTAGCTGATTCACAAATGGAGATCAAAGGGAGTACACTTAAACTAAATTTAGATGCTATTAAACTTCCTCTCCCCTACCCTAAAAGAGTTTTGAAAGCTAACTTGGATAAATAATTTGAAAAATTTCTAGAGGTGTTTAGAAAAATACATATTAACATTCCTCTTCTTGATGTATTGTCACAGATGCCAAGATATGGCAAATTCTTAAAAGAGGTGATGTCAAATAAAAGAAAATGGGAGGTGTGCGAAATGGTGAAACTTAACGAAGAGTGCTCAGCAATTCTTCAAAATAAATTGCCTCCAAAGCTCAAGGACCCAGGGAGTTTTTCTATTCCTTGCACCATAGGAGATACTGAGTTTAAGAAAGCTTTATGTGATTTAGGTGCTAGTATAAATCTAATGACATATTCTATTTTTGAAAAACTTGGATTGCATGAACTAACACCTACTACTATTACCTTGCAATTAGCTGATAGAAGTATTAAATATCCTAGGGGAGTAGTAGAAGATGTTTTAGTCAAAGTGGGCAATTTTATTATACCTGCTGACTTCATTGTGTTAGATATGGAGGAAGATAGGACAATGCCTTTGATTTTAGGGAGACCTTTTCTTGCTACTGGTAATGCTTTAATTGATGTGCAAAAAGGTCTACTTACTCTTAGGATCAATGGTGAAGAAGTAGTATTTAATGTATTTAAGACCATGAAGTATCCTAACACAATTGAACATGAAATATATGCAATCGATTGCATTGATGTTTGGGCAGCTGAAATCAACGCATCTAAATTAGATGATCTTTTAGAAAGCTGCATTCGTTATTCTTGTGAAAACGTATAGGCCTTGGATGAAGAAATTAAGGAGGTTTTGAACTATTTGGAGGCTGGTCAAGAAGGGTTCAAGCCAAGACAAGGAAAACTTTTACCACTGAATGGACCAACATTTACCAAGCAATTGCGACCATCCATTGAAACATCTCCAGCTTTGGAACTTAAACCTTTATCTTCTCATTTGAAATATATATTTTGGGAGAAATTTCCACCTTACCTGTGATTATTTCTTCTAATTTAATAGGTCTTCGAGAGAAAAAGTTGGTAAGGGTGCTCAAGCAACATATATTGGCTATCGGATGGAGCATCGCCGACATAAAAGGGATTAACCCTTTGGTGTGCACGCACAAAATGTTGATGGAAGAAGGCTGTAAACCCAAGGCACAACCACAAAGAAGGTTAAATCCTAAAATGCAACAGGTAGTGAAGACAAAAATTCTTAAATGGCTCGAAGTAAGTATTATCTATCCTATCATTGATTCATCATGGGTAAGTCCTATTCAAGTTGTGTCAAAAAAGGGTGGGACCACTATAATTTTAAATGAAAATAATGAATTGACTCCCACAAGAACAATAACTGGCTGGAGGGTGTGCATAGACTATAGGAAATTGAATGAGGCTACTAGGAAAGATCACTTTCCTTTGCCATTTATCGATCAAATGATAGAGAAACTTGTAGGACATGAATATTACTATTTCTTAGATGGTTACTCTGGTTATCTTCAAGTACCCATTGCACTTGAAGATCAAGAGAAGACTATTTTCACTTACTCATATGGAACATTTGCATTTAGGAGAATGCCATTTGG